GTCATACTCCGGGGGTACTAGAGAACATTCAGACATGCACACTCGCTTTTATTCTTTTGACAAATTAAAAGAGATGCGGTACACTTACATTAAAACTTAGATTGTCTTGCGTGTTAGCTTGCTTTCGCTCTAGAGCATGATCTGTTGAATTCCATCTCGTACTAATAAGAAACTATGCTTCTAACCACAGGTCAAGAGCTGAAATTCCAACCACACAACTTTGAGATGCTGTTTGCGGTTCATTTAAACTATGAATTCGGGGAACACCAAATCGCTGAACTAGTATGTTGATAATGACAGAAATTGTGACCATAGTTAGCTAACAATGCTTTTGGGAAACGCTCCCCAGTACAAAGACACCTTCAAATTTAGCTAATTTAACAGTGTAATTCAGTCAGCAACAGCTACCTTTCAGATATATCTCTTGGGTTAATGGTTGAATCACCATCCTATCAGTCAAAGTGCCACGTTTGACCGCACCACAATTTACTAAGAGCATGGAATGACTGATAAATTTTACACTCTGGGCACTCTGATCCTTACCAATTTCTTATGAGGCAGTTAGCTCAAATCCTTCAAACACCAGTGCTGAATTTAAACTCACTTTTATACTCAGAGTCTTTCCACCAACTGACATCCTGCATGTTAAAAAACTGAAGTTCTCATGTAGCTTCCCTGGATAATTGAAGAACAGCGAGCAGTTGAATCTGTCTGATGCCTGCCACAAATGAGAGGCTTTGGGTTTTATTTCATCTGTGTGCTGAAAAGAGAAAAGACAGTAAAGACACATCAAACTGAGTGGAAGGGGTAAAGAAACAGAGGACAGTTAATGGCCAGACATTAAGACCAATTAAGTTGGGTGTTAGTGGAAAGGGAATATTTATACAAATGCTTTGCAGTCAGGCTTTTCTCCAACAAAGATTGTGGCTGAAAGCCTGTGTGGTAGTGGTCCACTGTGAAAGGGTTTCAAAGGTAAGCAAATATTGTGTTTGTCAAAAAATTATCTTCTCCTCCTCTGAAAAGCTATATGACTGTAATTTCAGCAGATTCATTAAATTCAGGTTAGCTTTTGCAGGTGGAGTTTGTGTATCCAAAAATTAATATTATATAGTGGCATAAGCATTATTTGTGATGATATATTTATATTTTTGGAGAATAAATGCTTTTAATCCCATTCAGCAATATGTATGAATGTGTGTGTGTGTGTGTGTGTGTGTGTGTGTGTGTGTGTGTATCCTGGTGGGGACTTAAACCTGACTACACACAGACTCATGGGAACTCGTGTCACGGTGGGGACCTAAATTGAGGTCCCCAGGGGTACAAAAGATTATAAATCATACAGAATGATTTATAAAAGATTTTTGAGTGTATTTGTGTCTGTGTGTGTGTGTGTGTGCATGTGTGTGTGTGTGTGTGTGTGTGTGTGTGTGTGTGTGTACACCGTAGGCTATATGTGCACTTAATTTCAATATGTTTTAGTTACTTATATCTCCTCATTTTTGGCAATATATTTAGATTTATTTTAAATCAAAATATATTTATATTGTCCAAAATATATTTTTTTAAAGTAGTTGTTGAATTTAAGATTTTCTTTCTCCTTAAAGTATATTTTGTTATATATTTTGGCATTTGAACTGAAGGTTTAAGCAAAAGTTTTTAGTTTTGCCTTAAGCAACAATACATTTTGGCCTATATTTCCGGATCTAATACAGATACACTTGTTTTGATTTTAAAAAAAAATTTAGATTTACATAAATAAACTGTCCATAACAGTGGCAGTTGTGCACCTGTAAAGTAGTTGTTGAATTTAAGATTTTCTTTCTCCTTAAAGTATATTTTGTTATATATTTTGGCATTTGAACTGAAGGTTTAAGCAAAAGTTTTTAGTTTTGCCTTAAGCAACAATACATTTTGGCCTATATTTCCGGATCTAATACAGATACACTTGTTTTGATTTAAAAAAAAAATTTAGATTTACATAAATAAATAAACTGTCCATAACAGTGGCAGTTGTGCACCTGGGGAAATTCAGTAACACACTAGGCCGGATGGCTGTTTCTGGGAACAGACAAAATTTGGACTGTTTACCTTTGCTGACTTTGGGCGAGATGTTACAAGAGAAAGTGGTCCATCAATCAGAGGTGCTCTGGGCACTGGGCTCTAAAGCAGAGAAATGAGGCAGAGGAGACTGTGCCAGCAGCCATTTCCACTGCTGCATGACAGGAAAGCTTCCATTGCCCTCCCAAAAATCATTTGTGAACACAAAGTTGACCGTCCCCTGAAAGTTGAAGTTTCAGAGCAGAACTGGAATGAGAGGTCTTTGCTAACATTTCTTTCTATACAGTCCCCCTGGTTTCCTATTGGACCGGATTAGAGCAGCAATGGAAAACTTAAACATGTCAGTAAACAGAACTGAATCAATTGTTGCTGGACCTCTGTTTCTACTGCTGCTCCACTGCCCCATCACACATTAATAGCTCATGTCAGTCAAAAAGGCAGTTTGCACACCATCATGTTGAAAACCTGGCTTTGATGCTGACTAATATGACTACATTAAATGTCATATTTAACACTTGACCTTTTTTAAATGTTCTTCCGTATGTTTATACAAGATATTGGAATTGATTATTACTTTGTCGTGTTGCATTTGACGCACGCACATTTATGTGTGTTTTATATGTACAATACAGTAGTGGGGGTGATGTTTGTGTGTTGTCTGTTTGCGGTCTGATTATATAAAATGGTGTTTATATCCGTGTTCCTTTATCCCGTTTGACCAGCGTCTGCTTGTGAAAACACTGGCTGTCCCCAGCCTTAATTACAGCTGTATGGTGTGCGGCGTCCACAGCTGCAGCTGGCAATTACTGCATGCCCATATTGCTGAGAGAGCCCTGCTTTGATGCAGCACAGAGCCAGCTGAGATCAGACTCAATACACAGGCTGCTAAATGAACAGCCATGTGTTACATACAAGTGTGGCCCCTAAAAGTCCCTTCTCATCAGAACAAGCCTCGCTGCTGGAGAAATTTGGTTGATTTATAACAATATATTTTAATGTCAGTCTGCCTGAGGAAAAGATCATCTTATACCAGCATGAATTTATTTGTAGGTTGGTTTGTACTGGGTAGGTACTAGATGGTGGATCACGATAATAAGTTTAGCAGAATGTATAAGCTGCTCTTTTCCATACAGTGAAAGTGAATGGTGCTATGAAGCAAGACTTTTAGTGAACTTAAATTATACCCATTTCTTACAGAAAGCTATTGTATGATTTCAAAAGACTTGAAATGTAGTGCATGAGTTGTAGATTACATTTATTATGAATAGTGTTTTTTATGCTATTACAGTATGTATTAATATTTTGAATTAGCTATTATTGTTATATTTTCAGTTTTAATTTAATTAGTTTTAGTAATTTTGCTGTGCTTTTTTTATTTTATAATTTTTGTTTTTTTTTTCAAATTATTTCTATTAAGCTTTATTTTTACTCCTGTAATTTTAGTGCTTAAGCTTAAATTTACTTTAAGTTAGTTGCCAAAGCAACAATTCTATTTTTATGTTTGTTTGTTTATTTATTTATTTATTTATTTATTTTGAGTTAAGATAAATATTCATCTTTTAATTTCAGCTCTATTTAATTAACTAAACCTATTTTTAATAGTTTTAGTTTTAGTTAACGATAACAACATTGTTTGGAGCTTGACAGCAGTGGTCACTGGTCACCTTATTGTCTAGACAAGTGCAGCTCAGACATTCTGCTAAACGTCTCATGAAAGAAAGCCATAGAGGTTTGGAATGGTATGAGGCTGAATAAATGATGACAGAATTGTCATTTTTGTAAGGAATTATCTCTTTAACCAGACTGATGGAGACAGTTGTTGTTGGGACCAGCATCCAAAACACAACATGTGCAGGAGCCCAGCTATACTGGGCTTTTCAGAAGAGCCAAGAGTCTTTTTAACATTTCTTTCTTTGTCTGTGTTTTCAGGCAATCCAACAAATCAAGCTTTGTTTTTATTTGTGGTAGTGATTTGATTTGGCATGTTAGCGAAAGATTGGAACCAAAAATGTTTTGAACAAAAGGTCAGAAAGAGTTGAGCACCCAAGACTGAAGTGAAAACATCAATTTCTAGATCTTTCATGAATATGTTTCTTCTTCTTCTGTATTTTGAGTCACTGGACACCAATTTAGAGTTCTTCTTCATCCATCTGTGTTTTGTTGATCCATTCCCTCCTGACATTTATTTGTCAGTGGTTTTGTCTTCAATTTTTGAGTATTTCATTGCACAGTCAGGCTGCAGTGTACCTGAATAATAGTCTTTTTGTCACTTTTGCTTGAAGAAAGATGGTCTATAAATAACAAATTGCATGCTTTTTATTTTATTTTATTTATTTTAAGTGGCTGTGGTTTATGTAAGGATATTAAGTCCCATTTCAGAAGTTATTGCTTTTAATTTTGTGTTCTCTTATCAATATTTCCCATATGGAGCAATTAATATGATGGGATAACTTCATTGTGGAAGTGGATATGTTTCTAGGGATGTGGAGTATTAATTTTCCTCTTGTTTGAGGAACAAACGCATTGCATGATAATGCAGTATGGATTGTAGAACTGTCTCACTCTCTCGTCAAAATGAATATGACAGGAATGAGACAGAGAAAACTGTTTGTTATGCCACCGAACACAAATGCCCACTGACAGAATGATAAATTGTAAAAAATTTTAATCAGCGTCTCTTTTGGTTTTTCATGTGAGTTGGAAAACTATCTTCTGTGAAGATTTTAATGCCTCAGAACTTTTGAAGTTTAAAGTGACCTTTTCCCCGATTAATCATAAGCGTCTTAAAAGGCATCTCTTTGAGGGATCCAAAGGTTCATTAAAGTATTAAATCTTAGAAAAACAAAGGTTATGGTTTTCAAAGATTGTAGCTTGTTTGTTGTTATGGCCTCCTCAACACCAGAATATTACATTTTTAATTAGTCATTGGTGTTTTCTCATAGGTCTACACAAGATATGGGAAATGCTATACTTTCAACGGGAACAAAACAACCTCCAGGAAGACAAAGCAAGGAGGGATGGGAAACGGGCTGGAGATCATGTTGGATATCCAGCAGGATGAATATCTACCTATCTGGAAAGAGACAAGTGAGTTATAATGCCACACAGACACGATTTTTGGTCCAGAAGTTGCAAAGTCATTCCATATTTTCTGGTTCTCAGATGTGTGTCTGCACAATCTGTTAAGATAAACATGTTTAAATTCAAGGTTCATTTGTGATGTTGTTTTTTTCCCATTTGTATTGACCATCAAATTGCTCGTTCTGCTTTCTTACCCTCTCTCTGCCTTGCTCATCCTCTTGTTTTTGCAGATGAAACATCTTTAGAGGCTGGAATGCGTGTTCAGATCCACAGTCAGGATGAGCCGCCCTATATCCATCAGCTGGGCTTTGGAGTCTCTCCGGGATTTCAGACATTTGTATCCTGTCAAGAACAAAGGGTATAACCCTTCCCTTGAATCACTCTCAAACTTTTCAGTCTAAGTACCACCTACAATGAAACCAGACCATCCAACTACAGTACCATCTAGTCACATCAACATTCCCTACATTTTTTTAATAGCTTAATGGTCTAGTATTCTGTCATTTACTTACCGTCATGATATTCCTACAAAAGTAGATTTTTTGTTACACAGCTCTTGCCATACAGAATTCCAGAGAAAACGTGCTGTTCCTTGTTATACTGAAGTGAAGAAATAAATAAAAATAGGGGGCAGTAAGCAAGCAATTAGTGGAGGATGATTTCTTTGCAAGTGTGATACACATTCAGAGTTGAGAAAGTGACTGGCAGTTGAAGGGTCACCATGCTTGTGAAGTTGAACTATAAATGTGTATATTACAGTATTTCTACATCCATCAACTGGCTAGTAATCTAAAATCTGTATCTGTGCTATATGACATCGGTTTTTTTTTTTTTTTGAGCAGGAGAATAGAGCATATTGAATTGCTAAAATGAATAAACTATAGTCCTGAAAGATGACAAAAAGATTACTTAGTTGCGATGAAAGAGAAGTGGCGACAGTTTTTTTTTTTTTTCTGTATTGTAGCATCCAAGTGAAACAGATTATCATAAAAGAAGAAATATAGGTTGGTGACTTGGTCCTATCCATCAGTTGTTGATTGGATGGAGGCAGATCTGAATGCAAGCCTATAGTTAACTATAGGAAAGGGGCAGGTTTAAGCGGACTAAATGATTGGCATATCATTTCACTGGCATACATCATCAAAAAGTCTGTCGTTTCATCCGATAGATCATTTTGATTAAACATTTACGAGAAGAAAAAATTGGAACGTATGCATGGTTGAATCTTTTGCAATAAAATCAATAACATGCATTCAGAAAACAGATAGGGTGAAGTACATTGAAAAGTACTTTTGTACTACAAATGCAAAATATTGTTGTTCTGTATATATTGAAATGTAGGGCGACATATTCTTAAAACTAAGATCTGTCTAGGGTTACACAATCAATCTCATGCTTAAAAAGGAGTTCCGAATGCAATATTTTTGTTTCAAAGGCAGGCCACTCATTAAGCTTTCCTTCTGAAAATCAAGCCACACACAACTAAAATGTTGCTCAATTGTCAGTCACTTCAGTTTTATGCTCTTTAAAATTGTGGCATAGCTTGAGAATGCTGCTTATTTGCATACTTCATTTGCATTTACTAATTCTCTCTTTATTTCTGTCTCTCCTGCTCTTACAATCTGTCTCTGTCTGTTTCCCTCTCTCTTTACCTCCCTTGTTCTCTTCACTGCTCTCCCTCTCTGTGTGTAGTTGACCTACCTGCCCCAGCCTTGGGGGAACTGCCGCTCCACCAGTGAGCAGATGATCCCGGGTTATGATACCTACAGTATCAGCGCCTGCCGCCTGCGCTGCGAGACTCTTGAGGTTCAGCGTGTGTGCAAATGCAGGATGGTGCACATGCCGGGTAATGCTACACCGATGCATTCATTTCCCACTCAACGTAATCTTTATCTCCCTTGTTCTCTTCACTGCTCTCCCTCTCTGTGTGTAGTTGACCTACCTGCCCCAGCCTTGGGGGAACTGCCGCTCCACCAGTGAGCAGATGATCCCGGGTTATGATACCTACAGTATCAGCGCCTGCCGCCTGCGCTGCGAGACTCTTGAGGTTCAGCGTGTGTGCAAATGCAGGATGGTGCACATGCCGGGTAATGCTACACCGATGCATTCATTTCCCACTCAACGTAATCAGCACGCTAATGTATTCTGCTAATTGCTAAAATACTAAATGAATAAACTCTTCTCATCTAATTTGCTCCAGGCAGTGGAGCCGAAAGCTTAATGCAAGTCTCTAAATTAACTTACTGTCTAGTCACACAATACCAGGAGCTCGGGTGGTTCATTTGGCGATTGGAGGGAAAATTTAGATGATCGCAATCCGCCAGCAATGATGAACACGGACTCGCTGATTCGTTACATTCCACTTGAAGCAGCTGATAAACTGCAAAAAAAGCAAATACCTTTATTTTCTCTTTAGAAAACCGGCGACCGGGGACTTTCTCTGTCCCCAGAAATCTCTTTTCTAATTAACTCCACCACACCTGAGTTGTTATCAGTGTGGCTTTTCTGAGAGCGTGTGACTGTTGGTGGCCGGACTCTAATGGAAGCTCTGCTTCTCTGCTTCTTTGCTTTTCTCCTTTAATGTTCCTAAATCAATCTCCCATAATGCAAATTGAAAAGAGAGACTGTTCCAAATGCATTAACTCAAAGGCCATTTTCTCTTAGGTGCCATATGTATTTCCTCGAACCGGTTGCTCTTTTGATGGATCCGGGTGGCGAGTTGGACCTCCTGAGGTATTGTGTGTCGATGGGGATTGGGTTTTAAAGACTTTATAAATGTGCCTTTGGGGAGGGTTTTGATCAGTCCATTTTGGGTGCAATTAGGCCTAGACTGATGATCATGAGGGAGGCGTGGTGAAAGCAAACCCATCTTCCATCATTTTAGGATGAATAACAAAGCAGAGGAGCGCTGTCTCTTTCTCTGCCGCTCACGCTTTTTCTTCCTTGGCTGGTGGTGAAATAACAGCAATCGTTTTGCTCAGATTGATCAGAGTCATTATGTATTTTGTTTCTCAGGAGATGCCGATATCTGTACTCCCAGCAATATCAAATGTGTGGACAAAGCACTTGGTAAGCAAGCGTTTTTCATTTTTGCTAACGCCCTGGAGTGTAATATCTCTGGAGGTAGTGGACACAAATAATTAAATCCCAGATAAATTGATGTTCCTGTGCATGGTCTGGGGTGGGAGACAGGGGATTACTCATTCAGTCCATGAAGGAGAATGTTCTCCTGCGCTTTGACATCCTTTACAGAGCAGCGTTAAACTGGAGATCCCTGCAGTGCATTACCCTCTGATATCCTCACGGTGTTATCAGCCGCTGTAGGTGTCTTGTTCCACTGATTTTATGACACTCCTAAATGGAGCGGCTCATGAAAAGTTGATGATGAGAGATGTATTGGTACAATTATGATAGTCCTTATCTAATAAGCCAGAAATTTAATTATCTCCGCAGTCAAAAGGAAACCCGACCCCATTTAATGGGTGGTTGAACTAAATCCAGATATATCTTGAAAGAATGGACTGTACTACCATTCACTGGATTGACCTATTCAAATATTCAAACTGAAATCTCTACTATGATAGGTTACTTTAATTATTTATTTTCTCACCCAAACACTCGAACATGTCTGTAGATAAAAATATATCCCACGCATAACAACACAACATAGCCTATTAACACGTAAAAAAAAAAAAAAAAAAAAAAAAAAAAAAAAAAAAAAAAAAAAAAAAAAAAAAAAAAAAAAAAAAAAAAAAA